CGAAGTATTTGTTCCATCCTAGGCATGTACATTTTGGGAGAATTTAAAGTTTTCCTTTCCCAAAATTTAGGTAATCTGATCTGCGAAATGCCCAAACCCCAGAACAATAGTTCACGAAACTTTTATCCTTGGCACGCCGAAGTGTCAGTGTGACTTTACCTTGATAAAAAGTGTACAGCAGTAAAACTCATCAGTAAGTCGAATGTATTTGAAGGGACACATTGTTTGTAGAAATCCGTACCAGAAGCTGTTACATAGACATTGTCATAATCAAGACAATATGATCGTGGTTCAGGTATCAGTCCTGTAAATACAACATAAGGTTTGATGTAAGTTATGATTCCTTTCAGAGAGATAATAATGCATGCTAAATAGCGTCTTTAATCCTCCGATTACTCCGACAGTCTGAGAGCTTCTTTTGAGACTTGATATTTGCGAATATCTGTAAAAGTCGCCGACATCAAACAACCCAAAGAGAAACAACTATGCGAAAATCACAAGATTTGATGTTGAAACGTCGCTTACTCTTTAATTGATGTGACCATAGAACGTGCCTGTAAGATGTGGCGATAGGTAGTAGATAGGACAGGATAATATTTCGGTCTCCTGTTTAATAAGTGAATACGTATGGATGTTGGAAAGAAAAATCGTCTACTAGAGGTACACTCCTAGTCATTTCTCAATGTCAATGTGATCCAGCCGAAGTGAAAAGGCGTTCTTCAATAGCGTCATTTGGAAAAGAGGGCCAATTTCAAGTTCTAATTGACGATAATAGGAAAAATTTTTTTGATAAATCAATGTCCATCTGCCTATAATAGCAACAAATAGTTTTGATGCGGTTGGAAGGGTTATAAGTGCAATTATCGTCGCATTGTGGAAGCATATATATGTCAATTGTATTGCTAATTATGACGTAATTGAGTTGTTTGGCAATTCATTGGCTTCGGAAACCTTCGGCACTTCAACCTACAACACTGGCATCAAACAGCAAGAATAATGCATTGAATTGTGTTAAGACCTTGTATTATTGTTTTTCCTAAATTAGGCCTATGTATAACCGTGCTGTTATTCAGAGAACTGCCTTAAAGATGATCCCAAAGAAACATCGAAATTAAAAAAGAAATAGCATCATATACTGGGCGTTAGGATAAGGGTTTGTAAAAAGGATCTCGTATCAAGATTCGAAAAATATGGATCGCTTCACGAATTTTTTCTCTGTATCGTTCCAATTTTAGTATATGTATGACGTGACTAATACAATTGGAGAGTGGTCCGTAAGTCCATTAAGTACCCTAGACTTACCACACAACGAAGCTCCCTGGTATGACCCAGTTACATCCATTATCATTGTTAGCATGATCGTAATTGTGACATATAAACAAACCCGCGTGATAGGAAATGGACAATTGCGCATGCGCACTGAACTCAATAGAAATAGCACAAGGCAAAGTAGTTATTCTGTAAACGTCGCCGACATGCGAAAATCACAAGAGAAAGGAGGGGAGATTTGATGTTGAAACATCGCTTACCCTTTAATGGATGTGACCATAGAACGTGCCTGTAAGATGTGGCGATAGGTAGTAGATAGGACAGGATAATATCTCGGTCTCCTGTTTAATAGGTGAATACGTATGAATGTTAGAAAGAAAAATCGTCTGCTAGAGGTAAACTCCTAGTCATTTCTCAATGTCAATGTGATCCAGCCGAAGTGAAAAGGCGTTCTTCAATAGCGTCATTTGGAAAAGAGGGCCAATTTCAAGTTCTAATTGACGATAAGAGGAAAAAAATTTTTAATAAGTGAATATCCATCTGCCTATAATAGCAACAAATAGTTTTGATGCGGTTGGAAGGGTTATAAGTGCAATTATCGTCGCATTGTGGAAGCATATATATGTCAATTGTATTGCTAATTATGACGTAATTGAGTTGTTTAGCAATTCATTGCCT